GATAATATGTACACTAAAAAATCTGTATTTATTGAAAATTCATTCTAAATGAAATTTGAAATATTACATATCATTAAAAATATATATTAAAAAATAATTTGAAATGAGATTATTATAAATTAATGTAAAAATAATAATAAATGCATTGACAAATTTTATAAAAATTGAATTTATTTAAGTATTTTTAGAAAAATATCTAATTATATCATCAATTATTAACGGGAATTTTATATATTTTTTTCAGTTACATTTAAGAAAATATTTGTTAATATAAAAATCATGATTTTTGTTATTGATTTTATGATTTATAATAATCAGTTCAGTAGCATCCCAACAAATATTCATTTGATATTAGAGTATTTTGGAAAATATGTAAATCCATTATTTATCAATTGATCAATCAAAATCAGATGAAAATCTTTAAAAGTTTTTGATTCAGATATTCAATGAAATCAATTAACTTATGAGAAATTTAATACGAATGGAAAATAAATCATGATTTATTTTTTAATGATTCATATTTGTTTTTCATGGGTTAAAAATATAGATGATTGGAAGACCAAAGCAGTTAGTGTCAGCCTACCACTGGAGTACTGTACCTGGATCAAATCTGAGTGAGCAACTCCCCAAGAATTTTTCATGGGTGGTCTTTCTCAGATATGTCAGATCTTGCCCCTTGTCACCCTGTTATCATTGTAGGCCTGTTGAAGCAGTAATAGATATGATTAAAAAAGCATTCTTAGTGTCCACAGGGTGGAAAGATGGAAAATATCTTAAATTATAAAAATCATTTGAAAATCAACAGCAAGCAGTTTTAATGAGCACAAAATTTTTTACATTGAAAACATTTTTTACATTGTCATTCCATTAACAATGATTTAAACTTGCATTTATTCTACATTCTAAAAAATAAAAAAAATACATGTCTTTATGATAATAGAATTTTAATTTGAAATTTGAATATGTTTTTTCATTTTTTACTCTCCATCCTGAAAACATAATAAAGGCCCTTTTTCAATCATATTCATCATGGGTTCAGCCAAGTTCACAAGGGCGGCTGAATGGCAGAGACAGGACTCAATATATTGGGGGCAGTGGGCCACTCTTGGTCCAAACTTAAATTTGGCACCCCTAGAGCAGGCCAGCTGGCCAAGGCAGTAGAGGCAATAGCCATCTAGCCTAAGCAGAAATTTACAAATGCTAGTTTAGTCATTGAAGTTTTGATATTTACACCAAAGTGTTTTTGAAATGCAAGTTTTTAGCTTTTTGAAAAAGGTTCTCCACTGTTCTGAAAATTCAATATGAAGCTATTGGTAACAGAAATTTTATGACTGGATGACCCAAATAGTGATTTCTGTTACCAATAACATTAAAGATAGCATTGTGTATTGAAATTTAATTTTCAAATTAAATCAGTTTTCAAGTTTGGGATGCTATTGTATAATTGACTTATTTCAAGCTAATGCTTGTATAAAAGTTAATGAAAAGTTTTGATAATGTTTAAATGAATCTGATTCACAACTAAACAACAACCATGTTAAGGTAAGGGTTTACAGTTTCCAATGTTTTAATTGTAATTAATTTACATTCTAATTTTAACATTTGCAAAATATACATTTGCTATGCTGATTTTAAGATTTACCATAATATGTCTATTTGTCGAATGATGATAATTGTATACACATAAATTGGGATACTTTTAATCAAAATTAAAATATCAAAAAATTGACTTTGCAATTTTATTTTTCGATTCTTGAAGTAAACATTTTAATTTAACAAAGAATATTTGCAGCAAAATATTTATAAAGTGAAAAAAATTATATATATATATATANTATAATATATATAAACATGTTAAAGTAGTAATTAGATTGTAAAGCTGTAATGTGCTTGAAAAGGTTGATAGACTAAATCTTTTAAATCAAAATGAAGAGCTGTTAGATAAAGTATTATAATATTTTTTGAATTATATTCAAAAGAAATTTGTTTTCTAATAAGAATTTAATTTTTTAAATATTATCATAAATTATTTATAATTTTATCTGCACACTATATAATGTACTAGTAACTTAAGGAATGTTTATATATTCCTAAGATATTTGTTAATTTGTAGGTGCTAACCTTAGTATATTGTGATAGTTATAAGCACTTTTGCATGTGAGAGGTAAGAAAATAACTATAATTGTATTATAATGTAGTCATATCAATCTGATATTAATGTGTTATCAGGATGGGATTTTTCCCATTTGTTATGCTATCTTACAAAATGAATTGTCAGAAAAAAATTTGTGATAAAAAAAATTGTGCTGCACAACAGGAAAAGTGATAAACTAAGATGAATTTTATTTAATTTAGATAATATTGGGTAACTGTTTTGAAACTAATTGTTGATTTGCATAGTGAAATCATTGTTTTATGTCAAAAACTGTGAAATGTTTGTGAAATATTTGGCTATGATGCATTTGTTCTTTTATAATTTGATGACAAAATATACTGCTGTTTATTAATTTATTTGTATATATGTTTTGGTCTTATTTAATATAATAAATTATACACCTTCACAAAAAATTTCTGCCTATGTAAAAAGAAACAGATATAATTTGCAAAACTTTGTCTGTCATTATTTGGTTACAGTATGAATTAAAGAATTTTTCATGTTTTTTTTTTTAATAGCATTATTTCAGCATTTTATCCTTTACTGTTGTATCATAATGTCAATGTGGTATGTGATCTTAATCTTCACAAAGATCTTTTTACTTATAAATTTGTCCAATATAACATTTTGTAAACATGGAAAAGTACAAAAATATTTAAACTAAAATTTTATATATTTTTTAGTTTTTCCTTAAAAACTTTATATAAACTACATAATTTGTATGTATTATATTAAATTTTAATTTGCTTTATTTCAAAATTAAAAAAATATTGGCACTTGAAAATTGTTTAAAATTTTATTTCATAAATTCATTCACATGTAAGAAAAATTCTTGAACTCATTGATCTACATACCAATGTGAAAAATGGAAATAGCTGATGATGCAAATTCTATAATGTCACATTAATTAACACATGTTACAACTGAAAATGTAATAATATGATTTATTTCAAAATTAAACTTTAGTTATTTGGTCAATTCTTAAGAACGCAATACTGTAGAACAGTGTTTCTCAACCTCTAACGAATCGTTGCCCCCCTTCACTTCAAAATTCCAATGCCCAGGGCCAAGGTTAACACCAAATTTGTACTGCATTGAATAGATTAGTGACTAGTATAATGTTGTTTGTTTAATTATTGTACGATATAATGAATAAAATATCTAATTATATAATAAAATATCTTAATATAATGTTTTACTATATCGCCCAGAAAATTGTTTTTCGCCCCCCAAAATATAAATTGTTACTAATCGCCCTCTCAACATGGAAAAACGCCCACATGGGGGCAATATCGCCCCGTTGAGATACACTGCTGTAGAACAATATACACAACTATAGACACAAAGCTTGCACCAGGCTATAACATTGCTGGTACAATCATCACCAGGAATTGTTAATTTATTCCATGTTTTTTATTGTAAACTGACCTGAAATGTTTCTAATCTTTTTGTTTTGTTCGGCATGCCACATCATAAATGAACAATTTTTTTGCATTAATGTAAACATTACATATATACATGATTGCATACAATTAAAATGTTAGTTAACAACTAATATTAACTGTCTGGTGATCAGAGAGAGATATATTAAGTATTTTACATCCTTATAATGTAGGTGTTATGTTTTTCAGAAATTAATTTTAGTTTTGAGTTGACATTATATTATAATTTTTCCTAGTTAAAATAGTGGAAAATAGGCTCCTAGTTAATGTTTTCTTATAGAATATCTGATTTTCAGGAATAGCTTACTGATGTTAAATTTCAGTTGAAATATCCCCCACTTAAGATGTTTTTAAAAATTTATATTTGATTCTTGGTTATAAATTTCTGATTTATTCTCATGAAGTAATTGGGGTACAATTTGAAAAAGTTGTAGACCTGTAAATTTCCACTGTAGTCCTGTCTGTCTTTCCGTAATCTTGAGAATGATCTTAGATAAATGAGATTCAAGACAAGCTTAGGGGCAGGAGATCCCAATTAACTTTATATGAACTTTCAATGCAAACCGGAAGTCACATTATTTCAATTCAGAAAGTTCACCTGTGAGGACTGGTACAACTCTATTGCTAACTCATCTATCTAATGGAAAAGTATGTACTGTACAAGGGCAAGACACTACTAATTTGAGGTGGAGAGCATATATTTTAAATTGAATAAATGATTAAAAATTGCAGCCCAGCATTGTGATGATGTCATAATAAATAATTGCTTGTTTTATAGTGAATTCTTTTAGCATCAGCAGCATACTGTTTTTATCAAAAAAATTTTTTCAAGAAAAATTCCACAATGATCAAATCACTTGAAACAGCTCAGTAAACTAAAAGATCCATAAAAATTTAATAATAATTGTTTTTTTTTATTGCAGAAACTATGCCTGAAGTAGCTTTAACACAGCTGCATTACCAGGCACTATGCCAAAATATTACACAGTACATAAAAATTCTATATAAATTTTTTAATGTAATTGATTATGAAATCAGTTATCTGCTAACTAATCATAAAAACAATTCTATCATTCTACTATTAAGAAATATGTCTAAAAGTTTAATGTTTTCATTATGGATTTACAATTCTAATTTTAACATACATAGTTTTACATTATAATTTAGCATTAGTTTACCATTGAACTAAACAAATCTCACAATAACTTTGTCAATATGTCAGTGAAATGTTTGTTGAAAATTTCATTTAATTTCTCAATGTAAGGATTTGTCACATCCAAAATTAACAAATAAGTTGAGCAATTATGAATGAAGAAAAGTTGTATTATTCTCTTATGTAATATTCAATGGGATTAGAAATATTTAAGAAAAATTCACAAAAAACTTTTATTAAAATAATTTCTGATCTAATTTATTTACATATCTACAGAATTTTATGTGCACATTCAATGGAGTTATTTTCTACATTTTTCTCTCTTATACTCTCTTGCAAAATATTTGTCAATATTTTAAATTTTGTTATTTCTTCTTTTATTGGTTTTCTATAAAGAACATATTTTTATTGGAATTTTAATTGTTTAAATAAATAAATAAAAAATAAATAAATAGCACCTCACCTGTTATACAATATATTAGTAATCCACGTCAAAAGGCCATATTGTTTATATAAAGTTTTTGATACTGATGGAATTTTTACTGCTCTTATTAAAATGTTGAGAATTAAAAGCTAAAATTGAAACAATATATTATCATACTGTAAATATTTCTGAAAAAATTTTAAAAATACGAAAATGTATTAATAGAAAAAAAATTTAATAAGCTTTCTTAAAGGAGCTTTAGTATTAAAGTTTTTAATTAGTTAGAAAGTGACTTTTATGATGTGTTCTGTTAATGTCAAATTTAAGTTTGCAGTTCTCTGAACTCAGTATTTTTCTGTGTTAGCCAAAGCTATGATGGTAGATAAAAATAGAAACTTCATTCTTTGTTTTATGTTTATGTTAATTAAGCTATACAACAAAAACAATGATTAAGATGTATTTCCTTCATCTTCTGAATCTTATGTTATTATAATTTAATGAATGTGGTGGTGATGGTATGATTCCTTTTAAAACATAATAAGCAGATAATGCTGATTGTAAATCTCACTTATGATCTAAAAGATATCTTGCTAATCCAGGTTCAGCTGTAATACGGACAATATAGTTTTTCATTTTTCATTATTAAAATTACCAAGTGAAGCAGCATGTAGTAAGCAATTTCCATCTCCAGTTGTTGCAAGAGGCCATAATCTTTGACAAATTTCAATGTCAGCCCATTAATTAAGTCTTCCTCATTGTTCCAAAGAAACAAACAATTTTCTTCTCTAATTATAATAATTTGGATAATTCTCTTCCATTAAGTATCATACATTATCATCATCTGAATCTTATATCTTGAAAATAGTTAGGTTGATAGATAAAAATTATTATGCTAAGAAAGCCTATTGAATTTTATTAGTTTCTAACTATACAATTTTTTCATTGATAATGTTAATAATTACCTTGTTATCTTGACTACAAACAGGTGAATTATAAAAAGTTAATAATATGGGAAATATGTATCTCTTTTCACATATATGAAAGTCCAGACTTGTACGAAGTCCTTCACTCAGTAGTTTTAATATCCACTCTTTTTCTGTGCGATTCTATAGTAAATTTAAAAGTCAATTGTAAATATATTTTTACTAAAGTTAAATTTTAAAAATCAAAAGAACTTTTAATACACTTGTTTAGTTATTATTCAGAATGATTAAGACTGGAATTTGTATATGAATTTTATTCAGCAACAATCATTAGAAATTTTAAAGCTTAAAAAAAAAAGCAGCATAGAATGAACATTATTGTCTTTTAACTGATGTCACAGTAAACTATTATAACCTTTGTTTATATTATGTATTATTATGGATTCATGAAATGAATAGATATTGGATGTAGAATGAAATAGTTGTTCATCATATTATGATTTGCACAAATTATCAGATCATAGCATTAAATTAAAATAAAATCAAGTAGAAAACTAATATCCCTATATTAAATAATGATAACTTACTATTTTTAATAAGAAAGTTGTTCATTTAATTATTATTCTAAATCAACAAGACATACATATATGTCTTGTTGATTTAGACTAATTATTAAATAGTATTAAGGGCTAAAAGCAATATATTAGCGAGGTGTCGGCTGAAGTTTTAATCTTTAAAACGTGAACGTTGAACGCCACTATCTTGTAAATGGCGCTCGACATTCATGTTTTACAGATGAAAACTTCGGCCGCAACCTCTCTATTATTCCAAAGTTGTTCGTATTGATTTCATGGATATTTTTTGTCTAATGTATATATTTATAGGAAGAAATTCAATAGCTGAATTCTACAGAAATTGAATCTAGGAACATAATGAAATAGGTTTTGAAAAACACAGTTTTTGGATAATTTGTTAGACAAACATATAAAAATATTTTAAAAATAATAATAATGTTTAAAAGTTAATTTATGAAATTATAGTTATAAAGTAGCTATTTAAGGTAAATGTTTTTTGAATGAATAAAAATGAAACANAGTTGCGTGGCGCTCAAACAAAAGATGAATCGACGAGATTTGAAAATCGCATAACTCCGGGTTCGCGTAAGTCGGGGTATGACTGTAATTAATTACAAATACTACAACTTTTACTTTTTAATTGTCAAGCTAGAAAATTTGTTCTGATGTTGAATTTAATATATGTCCTAATTTCAGACATTAAAGTAAGAAAAAATTACACATCTTAGAATTGAAGAAATTCAATAAGTTTGTTTAAATACATTTAAGAGTTTGAAATATTCTTCAAATTACTGTAAATTTCAGTGTATAAGTCAGTTTAGCATATAAGTTTATCTCAATCTTTATCTCAAATTCTTGTCCTAAAGGTTGACCTAAAACTTGGCACTTTTTATCTAGTGATGCAACTTTAATGTAGCTGGATAATTAAGCCAATGGTTTATTAATCCAGCTGTATTAAAGTCACTTTAACAGGCTAGAATTAAAATGAGGATAAGGTATATAGTATTTCTATCAATCACCAGGCTTAAAAATTCTACTTATGCACTGCAACTTACATAATTTTAATTTAAAATTGCTAATTCAGAATCTCAGATAAGCAATTTTAAACTGAATTATAACTTATGTTTATAGAAATTTGATTACATCTAATTTTTTGTTTTTATGATACTGTATTAAAGAGAGAGACTAAATTTGAGATAATATGTACACTAAAAAATCTGTATTTATTGAAAATTCATTCTAAATGAAATTTGAAATATTACATATCATTAAAAATATATATTAAAAAATAATTTGAAATGAGATTATTATAAATTAATGTAAAAATAATAATAATGTTTAAAAGTTAATTTATGAAATTATAGTTATAAAGTAGCTATTTAAGGTAAATGTTTTTTGAATGAATAAAAATGAAACACAATATTATTGTTTAATAGCATTAAAAATAATAGCAGAAAATGGGAGAAATACAGAAGTTATTGAATCAAATGGCTTTAAATGACTTTTGCTTAAATATAGTGATTGCATATTAAATTTGTTATAATTACCTTAATAAATCTTTATGATAAAAGTAAATGTTTTTTTGTATAATTACACACCAGTGTTGTGGAATTGGACATTTTAGAGCAGAGTTGGAATCTGTAAAATTCTTTTGACTCCAGTGACTCTGACCTTGAATTTTACTATTAATGAAATTTAAGTACAACAAATGCTTTTTAATTAGTATCTAAAGAAATGTCTTAGAAAACAGATGCTTTGATAAATTTAGATATCCAAAAGATATTCATCTAAAAGGCCATTTCATACAAAAATTTTGTGTGTATCCCACACAACATACTCTATATTCATTTAAATTATGAAAGCTATTTTCTGAAAGTATTCACATTGCCAAAGAGCTGTACTACTGTTTGCATAAAATATGCCAGACTTGGTATGTTTTTGTGATTAACCAACCAAAAATTATAAAACATTGCACAATATTTGACTGACTGCATTTGTAAAAAGATAGAAAGACTAATATATTTTACTAGCTATTACCTGCGGCTTTGCCTGCGAGGATTTTGCAAGCAAACCCCATTTATATTCAGTATTTCAATAACCATAGTAATTGTTATATAACACCTACCACTGAGAATGATGAGAATTGCCAAGAATCAAATGAACTGTTTTCAATTTCATCAATTTTCTGGAACGTTTTTATAATCGTTCTATAATCAAACCAATATGCAATAACAAATTCAAATTTAAAACGGTTCGAACATTTGATTAAAAAATCAAAATATATAAAAATATTTATAACAATGTCTGAAATGAAATGCTCTCCTCCCCCACGGGGGAATTTCGAAAAATCCCTTCTTAGCATGCATTCCCAGGCATACCCTACTAAAATGCAGATAAAAACAAAAAACATCTAAAATAGTACAGTAGAAGCCATTTTTCCGATTAAGCCTTAATCCTCTCCCCCCCTCCGGGGGAATTTCGAAAAATCCCTTCTTAGTGCATGTTTTCATGATGTACCCTAACTGTGTACCAAATTTTACCTCTTTAGGTTCAGCGGTTTGCTCTAGGCAATGATGAATCAGTCGGTCAGTCAAGACAAGTAATTTTATATATTTAGATTGGACAAGAAAACCAGTGCAGAAAGAGTATAAAAATTTTAATTTGTGATGAAAAGTTAGGTAAATAAATTTGTGCATTGAAATTAGTTACAGCAGTGTTTTTCAACCTTCTTGAATATGCAACCCCTTTACAAGTTAAAAACTTCTGGCGACCCCCCAGGGCCATATTAAAACTATATCAGTGATTTTAGAAACTACGTATTTAATTTTCTTTCTGTTAAGACCTAAATATCGATCGAAAAACCAATTGTACTGTAAAATAAACAGGTACAGCCTTCTCACTGAAATTGTAGTTTTGTTTTATTGTAGAGTAGGACCTACAAACACTTGTCTTTTTCTTTTACCCACAACCCCCAGGGGGGTCATGACCCACAGGTTGAAAAACACTGAGTTACAATATTTAAAAGCAAATACCCAAATTAAGCAACATTTCCCATATTAGGTCATTTTCACCCCTTACATTTTGTTCATCTCTTTCATGTCATTCCCATTATGTTACAGGAAAAAGTTTTTATTTAAAAACCCTAGTAATAACTCTAGAACCATGGTTCCCTATTAGTGGTATGCGTACCCCTAGGGGTACGTGAAATTGCATAAAGGGGTACGTGTGGCAATCTAAAATCGGTCAATTTAAAATTTAAATGCATGAGATGAAGCAATCAAAAAAATAATGGGTGGACCATCAAAAATTCGGCAATTTACAACATGATGTCGAATGCACAAATTCGTTTATTTATAACTAAAAATATTCTCGAAATTTCATCAAAAAATGCATTTGTGACAATACCTAAATGAAATTTTTATGCAAGAAACAAAAATTGTACAATTAACATTATCACCATGTCAGTAAAGTGGCAATAAAATATTTACTACCATTTTGCACAACATACCTCTGTGAGAGCCATGACAAACATGAAAACTAAACGTCGTCACTGACTTCAACTCGAAGATGACTTGAGACTGAAGCTGACCAAAAAGCAGCCAGATTTTACAAAATTGTGCAAACAAAATCATGCACATTTGTCACATTAAAATTAAATAACCTTATGTTATTTTCATTATTATTAGAATTGTATTTTAAAGGTAATAGATGTAAAAAAACTTATTCTATTTATCACTAGCTGTCTACCCACAGCTTCACCTGCATTATATTGAATTTTCTCGTGGGAGTAAGATATTTTCTCGCAGTAAAATGTAGCCTATGTCCATCTCCAACATGTAAGCTATCTCTGTGCCAAATTTTATTAAAACCTGTTCAGCGGTTTAGACATGAAAAGGTGACAGACAGACAGAATTACCTTTGAATTTATAATAATAGTATGGATTAATATGAATTTCTGCTATAAGGAGTACGTAAGTTTGAGCTCTTTCTTAAAGTGGTATGCAGGAAAAACTAATTGGGAACCAGTGCTCTAGAACAGGGCTTCTTAAACTATGGGTCGCGATCCCATTCGGGGTCGCAAGAATTTAATGCAAAATATTAAAAATAATTTGTGAGAGTTTGAAAATGGCATGCTTTGTGTCATAGGTTTCATGAGTTGTGCTTTGTGTCACTTCTGGTGCAGCGAGACAATGATTCAGCAACACTGATTGTAGTGTGAACTAGTGTAGTGTTGTCGCTTTTCAGTGTATTCAGTAGTCTGTGTTCCATTGTAACACAAGAGTGAACTGTGGTAGTACACCATTATTGTTTTTGCAAATTTGTATATATCTTTATTTTGTATTTTTTTGGGTCAAGAAAAAAATCACAATCATAAATAAGATCGTGAATAAAAAAGTTTAAGAAGCCCTGCTCTAGAAAATTCTTTATATGCATAATCTGTTATAAGTGATAATTTTCATTTTTTTAAGTAAAAACAAAATTTTTGAAAATGTATGAGACATTTTATTGTAAAAATGGTGATTAGATTTGTGTTTATTCGACACTACATGACAGGTGACATTGTGTTTATTGGCTTGAATTTAGCAGTTTATCAACAGACAGTTTTGATCAAGTTTTAATCATCTCAAAAAATAAAGTAAAATTAGAATAATGTCTTACATATATCCTAAAACCTTGGCTATAGGCAGCCCTCTTATATAAGCAGCATAAGCTGTTCTTGTATACAGACTGTTATTAGATACAACTCTAGAATAAAAACTAATAGGAAAGGTCTAGAAATAACAGGAATAACATTATATAAATCTCACTCTGCTTTAGAGTAGAGTTAATTGTATGTGACTTTGATGGTCATTTTTGACAATTTTCACAAATACTTTAAAATTATTATTACCAGTAAACTGTATTTTTCTTTTATACTGTAGTTACATGTTTTTCATGTATTAGTTGCTCTTGTGCATCAGTGCATGCAATGAATTTTATGAATATAATGTTGTTTAGGTTAAGGCCAATAGCCAAGGCTTTAGGATATTTAAAAAGTTTACTTAATAGCAGTTGAACAAATTACTCACCATCATATCACTCCCATTGAAAAATTTATAAAATTCTGGAACATTATATAAATCTAAAGATGGTTTTATTGTTAAAAACTGCATCAATGATTTATACATTGGATCTTCTAAAAAAGAAAAATTATTAATATGAATTATGCCAATTTAACATTATCACTTTTAAAATATATACATTTATTAATATCTAAAGAGTTCTAACCTGTTCCAGCAATTTTATTTATGAAATATTTTTGGCTATCTGAGTAGACATCCTCAGGATCAAACATTCATGTAATTAAATTTAAATGAATTCTAACATTATTAGAAATGTCTAAATATAAATTGATGATAAATAACTGAAAATAACAACAAAATATAGACAATGATGATAATACACTACAGAACTACTGAATGTATACAATAGTAATTAGTGTGTGGTTTTAACCTCATTCTTGGTTTATAATATACTTCCATGATGTAAATACGCAAATGCCATCCTTATGGTTAATACATGAAATCTTAATAATATGTTTGTACATAGTTATTTTTTCTAGAGTTTTTTTTCCTGTATATTGGTCCCTGATTGTTTTTAAGAGTTTTAGTGTACTTGAAGTATGGTATATTCTTGGAAACAGTTGCTATAACAGCCAGCATTGTGATCCTTTTTTCCTTATGCATGTTGTATTGATGCTTTCTTGAGCCTGGTGGAAAGGTTTTGGGATGTGTATTGTATTTATTGATTGAATTGGTTTTTCTAGACATAAAGTGAATAGTTTTACATATGCTACTGGGGCTGTGATAGGGTCAACTGGGTCCTTAGCATTAAGCAATAAGCCATAAATTGTACTGTTGCACTTATATGTTAATTGCTTGTTTCCCAATCTAATAATCTTTCTGAAAGTATTATCTACCATAGCAACTTGTATGTTACCGGTGTGGTATTATCTTTCATGGGAAGTCTTCTTCAGTTGTATGTATTAAGGTGTTGATGGTGTATTGGTTGTATCTGTGAGTGGTTACTATGTTTCTGATCCTGCTAAACTCCTTTATGGTGTTCCTAATGTCTGTGCAATGAATGTAAGCTCTTGTGATAAAGGCTTTGAAAACTGCCATTTTGGATCTGGGAAGATTATCCAAACAGTTAGGGATATATAATGGATGGGATGTTGGTTATATATATATTTTACATACCTCCTCATTTATTTGGATGATGTTTAGATCAGGAAGTGCGCTTCTTTATTACTGAATTGATAGAGCTATTTTTAATCCATAGGGATTGTTATTGATTGTGTTGATGATGTTTTGTATATCTGGTCTTATCTTTCATACAATCAGTACATCATCTATGTCTATATAATAGAATATTATTTTGGATTTTGCGATCAAGAATATTTTCCATATTTCTTAGCACTATTTAACGCTGTAAAGATCTTGCCATGGGTCCACCAGGAAAAACTCTAGAAAAATATTCTGTATACAAACATAATATTAAGAATTTGTATATTAATCCTAAGGATGCCACTTGCTTATGCACAGTGTAGGAGTATGTTATAAACCAAGATGAGGTTAAAATCAACCACAAATTACTATTATTCAACATATTCAACATTTAACAGAACTGTTGAATAATATATTCAACAGTTCTGTAGTACATTATCATTGTTTATATTTTATGGTTTATTACTTTTCGTATTTTTTTTTATGTTACTTTCAAATTATTTACCATCAGTTTATATTTAGAACATTTCTAAGAATGTTAAAATTTAAATTTAAAAGAATTTTACTACATGAATGTTCAATCCTGAGGTTGGTAACTCAAATAGCCAAAAATGTTTGATGAATAAAGTGTCATTGCTGGAACAGGCTAGGACTCTAGATTTATACTTTACTCCAGTTTAAGAAGCTTAATATTATAAATATTATTTTAATAACTTAATTTATCACACTATACCTTTGACTTTTATGTAAATTTTTAAAACTTACTTATGATTTAAATGTTCATCAAGGAAATGAAAAAAAAATTTTTTTTCAAATCTTTGGGTAAATAAATTTATCTCAATATAAGAAAACAAAATTTTATTGTGAGCTTTAAAACTTGTGATTCTTCTTGATTAATAAATTTACTTTTGTTTTAATGTCTACAGAGTGATTATCACTATGAAAATACTAAAACACTCCAATAAATTTGGTAAAACATAATCAGACAAAATTTTTTTTCAAGCTAAATATTTGTGTATCTTTTAATATATAGAAATTAAATATACATGAAAGATAAATGACTTAAACTACTTTTACTGAGACTTCTATCTTAAAAATTTGTAAAGAACCATACAGTTAAAGAACAATTTAAAAGTATCATATTACATCATACTGAACATTTTGGTGATCTGTTTCTTAACCCAAACATCTAGAGCACAATAGTGATTTTAGTTGACAAAATGGAATATGTTTTATTTGTGTATAAGTGCTTGTACTAGTCACTTTTTAATCAAGGTAACTAAAAAATTACAGCATGGTCTATTTTTTCAGGAAACAAAAAAGCTTCTGCTTTTCAAAATAGAAAAAAAGGAATTCAATTTCTCACAGAGCACTGAAGATTGTTTAGTTGCCAACTCACCAATAAGTGGCAACTAAACAATCACTATTGTGCTAATTTTGCATTTTGAGTCAAAATTTAAAAATTACTAATAAAATTTTTACTAGTAAATTTTCTAAAGTTGGTAAACTTGCAACCCCTAACTATCAATATTTTAACTTTATATACATTGGGTAAATTAATTATAATACAAAATATCTTATTTTTTTTTAATATTTTATTGATAGAATAAAATGAATAAATGCAGAATTATTACCATTTTAGTATTATAAATAGAAAATTATAGAAACTTTGTATAGAAATATTTCACTTTTGTTTTTCCATATTAAAAATTATAAAGGTATTTATTATTATTATGGAACGTTTTTAGTAAAATTTCATAACTTCAGACAATTTTTTCAAAATAAATAATATATATATTTGACTTTATATTGTTCTTTTGTGTTTATAACTTCCTGACATTCACTAAATTTTTATATCAATTTTAAAATATTTTTAATATATTTTAAAATTATTTTCTCTTTTCTTATTTATGTTGTTTAATTTGTGTGCAAAAATATTATGAGATTTCATCTATGAAATATTCTAAAAAGAAGTTAATATTTCTTTAATGTTTATTGTACCTTAACATTCTACTTCAGCTTTATTTATATATAAAATATGATGACATTCTTTAAAGATAACTGCTGTAATATCTCAGAGTAGAAAATATCTATTGAATAAAAAGTTATCTAGAAACAGAAAATAGGACTGATCCTGAATTCTAATGGATAATGGGCTAAATTCTATGCTATAGCGTGAAGAATACAGTATAATAATACACGAGTTTCCAGGATATTTTTAAATCAATTTTCTTGGAGATTTTTTTCATTTCTCTGTATGTATTAAATAATTCTTTTTACTGTTGTTTGATTTCAGCATTGATTGAAATTTTTTAGAAAACAAATTTCAAGATCCTTACACATTTTTCAACCCATTTGAATGTCTTTACTACTATAAATTGAACTATGCTATGAACAAATAGATGTATTAGCAATATAAGGTATAGTCAATGGAAAGTTTTGAATATTAAAATATTACAAATTTTTAAAATTAAAAAACAAATATTCTAGAAATTCTGAAAATTTGAATAATTATCTAATATAAAAATAACTCTGAATATAAATTTTACTTACCAGATTTAAATGCATAATCTGTTACTTTACAGAGAAATAATGTAACTAAATAAGATAACTTTATATTACTTTTTGTGATATTATGCTTCATTAGTTTCAAAATTCCTAGCCATAAATCTTTCTCTTTGAATCTAGAACCTTCCAGATGTTCATAAAACTGATGTAATACATAATAACCGGCTTTTCGAATATTTAAGACTGAGCTACTTAATGATGTAAATATTAGTGCAAGACATTTTGATTCAATAAATTTTCTGCAGTTGACAAGGGATCCTGTAATTAAAAAGTTCTGTTAATTATTATTCATATTTATATTATATATTAATTACATATCCAGAAAAAATTTATGATCAGTTTTTATACAAATTAAAGTGATATAAATAATAATAATAATTATTTTTTAAGCAAATGCAATCTAATAAAACCAGTATAAATTTAATTTTTTAAAGTTTTTTAAGATAATATGTACAAGGCATTTATCAAGTTATATATTNTCTTAAGGAGACATTTATCATTTGTGTGCAAAAATATTATGAGATTTCATCTATGAAATATTCTAAAAAGAAGTTAATATTTCTTTAATGTTTATTGTACCTTAACATTCTACTTCAGCTTTATTTATATATAAAATATGATGACATTCTTTAAAGATAACTGCTGTAATATCTCAGAGTAGAAAATATCTATTGAATAAAAAGTTATCTAGAAACAGAAAATAGGACTGATCCTGAATTCTAATGGATAATGGGCTAAATTCTATGCTATAGCATGAAGAATACAGTATAATAATACACGAGTTTCCAGGATATTTTTAAATCAATTTTCTTGGAGATTTTTTTCATTTCTCTGTATGTATTAAATAATTCTTTTTACTGTTGTTTGATTTCAGCATTGATTGAAATTTTTTAGAAAACAAATTTCAAGATCCTTACACATTTTTCAACCCATTTGAATGTCTTTACTACTATAAATTGAACTATGCTATGAACAAATAGATGTATTAGCAATATAAGGTATAGTCAATGGAAAGTTTTGAATATTAAAATATTACAAATTTTTAAAATTAAAAAACAAATATTCTAGAAATTCTGAAAATTTGAATAATTATCTAATATAAAAATAACTCTGAATATAAATTTTACTTACCAGATTTAAATGCATAATCTGTTACTTTACAGAGAAATAATGTAACTAAATAAGATAACTTTATATTACTTTTTGTGATATTATGCTTCATTAGTTTCAAAATTCCTAGCCATAAATCTTTCTCTTTGAATCTAGAACCTTCCAGATGTTCATAAAACTGATGTAATACATAATAACCGGCTTTTCGAATATTTAAGACTGAGCTACTTAATGATGTAAATATTAGTGCAAGACATTTTGATTCAATAAATTTTCTGCAGTTGACAAGGGATCCTGTAATTAAAAAGTTCTGTTAATTATTATTCATATTTATATTATATATTAATTACATATCCAGAAAAAATTTATGATCAGTTTTTATACAAATTAAAGTGATATAAATAATAATAATAATTATTTTTTAAGCAAATGCAATCTAATAAAACCAGTATAAATTTAATTTTTTAAAGTTTTTTAAGATAATATGTACAAGGCATTTATCAAGTTATATATTTCTGTAATTAAATATATATATATATATATTCTATAAAGATTCACTGTTGTATTTGGTGAGAGATTTAACTAATTACAAATTTTTGTTTTCTGTTACAGGTAAGATAATCATTTTGATTTAATATGTCAAAAAAGTAAGACATATTTGCCTGTAGGCCAGATGGAGAGTAGGACAAAAATTTTTCACCTAGATACATTAGAGGAGACAAAAATTTTGGATTTGTTACAGGGAGATCTTGATGTGAAAGATGGAATCTCATTATTAATTCAATTAAATTTAAATCAAAATGTTAAGTTAGAGATTGTAAAATGATTGCAAAAGTGGATAGGATATTCTTGTGGGTGGAGAATTTGGATGAGGCAATTGTGGGATTTGAATCTAGATTGGAGTTACTGGAGAAGTTGAAGCAGGAGAAGGATTTGGCTTCAACTCACAGAATGAGTAAATTTGGAGCAGCAGATTTCAGAAATTAGTTTTGTTAAGCAAATTGTTAACTTGGAGTTTTTGTACAGAACAGGTTTTATTTGGTGATTGAAATTATGTTAGGTACTAGATGGGTTATTTTTTGTTTTATATATCTAAGACCTGTTTATTTGGGAAGTTATTTGGAATGAGATTGTTATGGTTGTTCAAAGTTATAATGTTGACATTCTAATGGACGACTTTAATGCATGTACAGGAATGGACCCACAGAATTGGGTCCTGAAAATTTTGGATGAGTTGAACTAGTGCTGGTTATCAAGAATATTGCAGGATCTGACAGTAAATCTGCAAGGCAAATCAATTTTAAGTTTTTGTGAACATTTTGGCTATTTGATTATGAATGGCAGCAGTCCATCTGCTTCTACTAAAGGTTTTTATTCTTATATGAGTTCATTAGGTTTGGCTCTAGATTTATTGATTTGGCTCTAGATTAGGTTTTTATGTTGCTGGTTTCAGGTTTTGCAGTTTTGGATGAAGTATTTATACTTCATTCAAGTCATTTTCTGATTAGGCTGAATTTAAACTGTAATTTAGAAGAGAAATTAACTAAAAAAGTAGTGAAGCCATGATCAGTAGCTTCCAGATTTTGAAAGAATGATTGCAGTCTGGTGTTAAATCAAAAACATAAGGAGTTAATGTTGAGAATTCAGGGCTAATCAGAATTGACTGCTGATTTTTTAGTTCAGTTGGTAAGATATATTTTTACTGATTGGAATAAAAAACCTAAAGGGTTTGATAAATTTTCTTTTTTGAACGTTTTGTGAAAATATTTGGCTCAGAATGTTACAAGCCAGATCTTTTGTTATATAATTTGTGTTATAATTGGCAAGATGATGTTTTGGATATTGAGATTATTGACTCAACTAATGACACAATTGACTCTCTTTGGAAGTAGAGTCAATTGTGTCATCAATGAAAGATGGTACTGCTCCAGGAATGGATGGTATATCCGTAAATTTTATAAAAATTATTCCAGACTATTTATTAATTATTTAGCTTCTTCATTTAATAGTATCTACAAATTTGGAGATATTCCATCAAATTGGTGTGTAAGTAAAATTATTCCAATACATGAAAAAGATCCTAGGAATCGTTCAGAGAATTAAAGATGTATTTTATTATTATCTACTATTTCTAAGATATTCTGTAAGATTCTATATAGGTGATTAGTTATGTTGTTGGATAATTATGGTTTTTTTTTTTCTGATTTTCAGACTGGTTTTTGCTCCGGTTTCTCTAACTTAGATAAATTTTTGTATTGTACACTTGCATTCAAAAAAGTTTGAGGAGAAAAGATGGGAAAGTTTTTCCCTTTTTCATAGATTTGAAATCACTATTTAATTCTCTGGATAGACATATTTTATGGCAACATTTATGGAGGATTGGTCTAAGTATATATTAGATAATTAGATAATTAACTGATTTATAACTAATTCAAAGACTTGCTGTTCTATTAATGGAAAAGATACGAATCTATTTTTTATGCATAAGGAAGTTAAACAGAGATGTTTACAAGCCCAATTTTATTTAATTTTTATATTAATGCTTTTGTTAAGGAATTCTGTTCTTTAGATGTACTGGGATGCAATGTGGAAGGCTGTGATGTTAAGATTCTTACTTATGCAGATTCAATAATGTTGGCAAATTCTTCAATTGGATTACAAAAAATAGTTAATTTCACTGTAAAGGCTATGCAAAAATTATGTCTTTGCAATAATGTTAACAAATCACAGATCATGGTGTTTTATAATGAAGCAGTTCATTCATGCTAAAAAAGAAAAGTATTACATTAAGCATAACTTGATCAATGTAGTAGATGAATATAAATTTTGGGAGTATTTTTTCAATCAAATGGAAGATTTTCTAGGCATTTAAGTCATACTGTTAATAAAGCAAATATTGGGGTATAGAGAAGATTATTCAAGTATGTAAATCTTGACTTTGTTTTATGTTCTGATGATTTAGAACAGGGGTCACCAAACTATGGCCTGTGAGGTCACCTTATCAGGTCCGCTGCCATACTGTGCCACAAATGAGCTAAAATATAATTATTTATATGGAAATATCATAGATTGTAGATACATTTATTATAATTTTTTCTACATAGTAAGTTTAAGTAAAAATGCCAAAATTAGACCAATGTAAGTTTTGCATCTGACAGTAATATAATTTTTAGGAAAATCAGTGAAATAAAAAATTCAGCAACTTTTTGCAACTTTGGATATCAAAGCACTTTTTGTGTACCTGCAATGAAGTTTCTAAGAAAAGTGATTACGAGCTCGCTGTAGCGATTGTGTTTGTGTATTGGTAAATAAATACGTTGGTTGTCTTTATTTTTTGTGTATTCAGTGTACTGTATTGAACAAAATGGTTATGAAGTCCATGCTCGTCATTCTCTCAGTTATCTGGCCTGCTGTGAAGTTTGGTGACCCCTGATTTAGAACAATATGTCTAAAACTCCTGCTAGATAGTTTTACCAAACAAATTGAGATTTTTTGATATAATACATGGTATTGAAGAAATCCATGCAAGAAATGATACTAAATTATGCTCCAGGCTTCTGCTGTAAATCTTGGCAGATCCTGGAATTTGTAAGTCATAGAGACTGTGAAGTTCTGCCCAACAGGGAAATGGCAAGTTAATAAATAAACAAATTAAATACATCAATGTTACATCATTTCTGTATCTTTCATCAACCTGGTAATAGTACCAAGATGACAATTTTGAATCTGGAATATCTGATGATGAGTTTATGTCCAAAAGCTGTAGTGATAAACAGGACTGCTATTTTCATTTTTCTTTTGCTCTATTACAGCGTTTTTAACATTACTTAATATTACTAATTAAATTATTTACTAGTTATATAAAATCTTACCTGGAGTTAATAAAACAATGAAAAGTGAAAGTAAAAATCGAGGATCATAAATTTTATCTAATTCAGTTTCCACATATTTTAATTCTTGAACACCAGGCTATAATAAATAAAATTCACAATATATCATTCAATTAAAACAACAAAAAATTAATTTAGAAATTTAAAAAATATCTGTAATGATTATTGATAGGTTTTAACTTTTTTCTATATTTTAATCTCTATACTCTAGGTTAAGTATATTGTAAACTACTATGCAAGCCAGATTTATTATACTCACACTGGCTTTTGTAACAACTATATTAAAAAATGCTTGGAAATTAGATAATATTTATATATTCAATGCTTTTCATTTAANTTTTTTCTATATTTTAATCTCTATACTCTAGGTTAAGTATATTGTAAACTACTATGCAAGCCAGATTTATTATACTCACACTGGCTTTTGTAACAACTATATTAAAAAATGCTTGGAAATTAGATAATATTTATATATTCAATGCTTTTCATTTAAAGTTATTCATTTCAATAACTAAGTTAAATTTTCTTCAAATTATATAAAAATATTTTTTCTTTATATATAAAGTTATATTAGTCTCACTCACTGAATGAAATTTTTCAATGGACATAGATTTCTTACTGATAAAGTATCTGATCAGTCATCAGTACATTACTGAAAACATCTAAAATCTCAAAAAAGTCAAGTATTCTACACTCTATGAAGTATAAAAATTTAATAGAATATAGTGCTCAATATTGACTTTCTACACCATTTTTTTCTACAGCTTTTTTTTCTACATCTATTTGCCTATTTTTAAAAATTTACAATTATAAATTTGTGCTGCTTTATTATTGATTTTTTTAATAATAATTTTTATTTATAAATTAAATAATTGGGCCATTGAAAGTCAGACAAAGTCTTCAGTATACAGTAATACCTCAACTTACGCTACCCCGACTTACACGAACCCAGAGTTACGCGATTTTCAAATCTCGTCAATTTGTCTTTTGTTTGAGTGCCACGCAACTCTTGATTACTCACCCCCCACACTATTGTTTAGCTTACATGTTCGGACGTGCCATGTGGAATCGACACATAGCTACAATTTATTTTGTGTTATTTATTTCTGTGTTTGTTAAATCTACGGAGACTTGAGAGACTCTATGTGATGATTTATTGTAACCGTGAATCAAAAGACAAAATAAGATTAACAAGAACATTTATTAGCTTACATACACCCGACTTGGATTTTACACAAATTGCGAAATTATACCCCAACTTACGCAAATTCAACTTACGCGATTATCGCTCGGTCCCACCTATCGCGTAAGTTCAGGGTATTACTGTACTGTATATTTAAAATATAAAGACAAACAAATTAATAATTCCAATATCTAAATTCAACTATAGTNGACTGAACATTTATACATATATCTAGAATGTCTATACATATTCTAGTGCAGAATTGTTTGAAGAATCTAATGGCATATTAACTTTTAGTCTGTGACTGTAACTTTTGGAGATGTCGCGGTTTATATAGTCAAAATCTGATAATTGTGGCTATACATTATTCTCCAATAGCAACTTGTATACTCGCGTCTAGACTAAACATGTATACATATATGCAAAATGTCTATACATATTCTAGTGCGGAATCGTCTGACGAATCTAATGGCATATTAACTTTTAACCTCTGACTGTAACTTTTTGAGATATCGCGGTTTATAACATCAAAATTCGATTATTGTGGGTGAGTAATCAAGAGTGCCACGCAACTCTTGATTACTCACCCCCACACTATTGTTTAGCTTACATGTTTGGACGTGTCATGTGGAATCAACACATAGCTACAATTTATTTTGTGTTATTTATTTCTGTGTTTGTTAAATCTACAGAGACTTGAGAGACTCTATGTGATGATTTATTGTAACCGTGAATCAAAAGACAAAATAAGATTAACAAGAACATTTATTAGCTTACATACACCCGACTTGGATTTTACACAAATTGCGAAATTATACCCCAACTTACGCAAATTCAACTTACGCGATTATCGCTCGGTCCCACCTATCGCGTAAGTTCAGGGTATTACTGTACTGTATATTTAAAATATAAAGACAAACAAATTAATAATTCCAATATCTAAATTCAACTATAGTTAGGAAAAAAATCATTACATAAAGATAATAGTATACAATGTAGAAAACTATAGAAGTCAACTTTAATTTTTAATTTAAATAAATTTATTTTAAAAGATTTGCTAATTATTATTTATATGCAAAATTATTTTAAAATTATATGAACTATTAATACACTTACTTTTAAGTCTAGATTTAAAGGAAAATTTAAAATTGTATGCCACATTTTCTCTCTGTCCAGCAAAGTAATAATATCATCTAAATTTGGTTCTTTCCATAAAGAAAGATTAGTCTGGGCTTTCAAAGAATAATGATTAACACCAGCAGATCCCCACATAAATGGTCTGTAAAATTAATCATGATAAAAAAAGTTTTGAGAATTGTGATATCTCTAAATAAGAAGGCAGAACAAGAAAATGTGAAATAAACACAATCACTTTAAAAGAATAGTTCTTATGTTCATAAAATAAATTGGCTTACCTGAATTTATTAAGTTGTATTCCTGCTTCCTCATATAAACTTATTAAAAAAAGAAGTGATTGATCTGGAATCATTTAAAACAAAAATAAATATTTTTATTCTGCAAATATTTTATCAAGGTTTTTTTACTAATCATTTTACCAGTTTTATTCAATGTAGCATGATAAGCACCAAGATACAATGGAATATGTTCTGATTTACACACAGAAGAATCAAGAGTGACCAGAGTTACAAGTAGTGAAATGATTGATTCTATAATATAATTGAATAAAGAACATCAAAATTATGTTTATTAAAATAAAAATTGATTTTATTAAAAAAAAAAAAAACAAACCTTTTGTTAAGCATTTTCCTGAGTCTTCTAATATTAATGAAATGAAATTAGAATGACCAAAAATCATTTGAAAAATTTCTGGTAGTGAAAGTGACATGTTTTCCATATTAATTTTATATACAGTGGAAATGATGCTATTAAGTAACTCAATCATCAAATATCCATTGGATAAATCACTAGAAATATTAAATAAAAATAACAGTTAAAATTTGTTAAAAATACATTAGATCTGTAGTTTCTACATAAGTATATTTTTTTATTTAATGACATAAAATCAATGTCTAAACTATATGAGACAACAGTTATATACAAGATGAGTCAAAGTCCCTTGCACCCTTTCATCCCAAAAGTATTGAAGATATATTAATCTTAAAAGTCATATAAAACAAAGTCACTTTTACTCTTCATAAATTTAACATTGAAAATTATGCAGTGTTAACTGTATTTGAATCCAGAAAATGGTTTTAGACTAATTAAATGGTGCTCTTTAATTTTGTCATTGAAACTTTTGTTACTTCTGCTTATTAAAAAGTTACAAGTGAAAATCAAACTTTATGAAATACTACATTTCTCATTTTCATGGAAATGAAAAATGTGGTATTTCATAAAGTTTATATATAAAAGTTACATGCTATCTTTATATACTAAGGCACTAAGATTAAATAATTCTAAGTTTCAAAGAATGCAAACATATAAAGCTATTAACATCTTAAGACCAGGGTTACCACTCCTTGGTTTTAAAACCCAGATCTGGGTTTTTCGACCTTCTCTTAGTTTTGAGGTTGTTTTTTCTAATTTTCCTAAAATATGGGTTTTTTTTTTTAAAATATGACTTAAAATAAAATAAAAGCTGTCTGAGACATCTTTTATTTTATTCAATAAATATAAAATGACTTAAATAATAAAAAATTTTAGATTTTAGAAACAAAAATGAAAAGCATGGTACTTTATTTGCTGAATCCTGAATCAAGTGGAGTTAAAAACACCCAGATAGACTTAAACACCTGCTCAAGCTATGAAATCATACCCATCAATGATTTGCTATCATGACACAAGCAGCAATTCCAGCTACTTAATTAAAAATCGATGGTATTTTGAAATTAAAATGCATTGCTTTATGCAATAATGTTTGTAACATTGTGGTTTGAAAATGTATAAAGTAGTAATATTTTTTATTCTTAAATATGGGCATCATATATATATGTTGTATATTTTGAAAATATACAGTACATTGTAAGTTTGTATATGAAGTGGTGTAAGTTTTAGAACAAAAGTTTTAAGAGAATTAAAATGATGGCAGCTAAACATGTTGCATTTATTCTATTAATTCTTAAATGTGAATAATTATATATAGTATTTAATAAGTGTAACTTACCTACAACACAATGTTAGTGTTCTAAATTTTAAGAAATGGACTTATTGAGTCTAATACTGTATACAAATTATCTTTGGCAATTATGGATTCGGCCAGGTGGTGAGGGATATGTCGGCTTCCATTTCCCAACATTAATTGCGGAAAACAAACTTAACAAGTTAGATGACAAATGGCGATCATTTCAATTAGCAAAAGATTTGGTCATACAATATAATAGTATACTAGAATATTGTTTCTTGTTACGCAATATACAGGATGGTTTTGGTAACAGTAAATATGCCCTACTATCTCAATTTATGATGCAGCTTACAGTTCTTCCACATTCCTCACCCAGTGTCGAGAGAATATTTTTGCAAATTAACAACATTAAGACCAAACAAACTAACAGGTTAACTGTTGAATCGTCAAAGAACAGGTTGCTTGCTAAACAAGCAATCAGTAAAAAAAAATCTTAGCTGTTCGCTGTATGAACCGGAACCTAAACTAATTAGAGATGCAGTACAAGGAATTTGCCACCAAAGGTATAAGAAGTGACAAGAAGAGCATAAAGATTATGCAGAACTGTTAATGGAAGAAGAAGAAACAGAGTAACTGTGAAATAACATTAACTATTGTGTAAATTAGGTAATAAATGGTTTTTTAAATTTGTATTATAGTGTCTGTAATTATAACAGCATGAATGTACTATGATAAAGTATTTATAATTATATTTTAAATCACAAATTTTTCTTGGTAAATAATCTGGGTTTTTAAATTTCCCATCTGGGTTTTTTTCCATCCAGACCCAAGTTTTTTCATATGTCACGAGTGGCATCCCTGCTTAAGACAGTTTATTACTGTTATTTATATTTTTATTATTGTATGTTAGTGTGTTTGATAATTGATAACATCTTTTCACTTTTACTGTAAATAAAGTAATATTTTTAAATATTAAATACATGTTTATTATGTAAAATAAAGATATTAAGATGGCAAAAAAATTGAGGAACTACTGTACATTTAATCATCATACATATTTTATTCTTTACATGCATTGATATTATTAGACAAAATAAAATTACCAAATTATTAAAATTGTCACNTTTTAAGAGAATTAAAATGATGGCAGCTAAACATGTTGCATTTATTCTATTAATTCTTAAATGTGAATAATTATATATAGTATTTAATAAGTGTAACTTACCTACAACACAATGTTAGTGTTCTAAATTTTAAGAAATGGACTTATTGAGTCTAATACTGTATACAAATTATCTTTGGCAATTATGGATTCGGCCAGGTGGTGAGGGATATGTCGGCTTCCATTTCCCAACATTAATTGCGGAAAACAAACTTAACAAGTTAGATGACAAATGGCGATCATTTCAATTAGCAAAAGATTTGGTCATACAATATAATAGTATACTAGAATATTGTTTCTTGTTACGCAATATACAGGATGGTTTTGGTAACAGTAAATATGCCCTACTATCTCAATTTATGATGCAGCTTACAGTTCTTCCACATTCCTCACCCAGTGTCGAGAGAATATTTTTGCAAATTAACAACATTAAGACCAAACAAACTAACAGGTTAACTGTTGAATCGTCAAAGAACAGGTTGCTTGCTAAACAAGCAATCAGTAAAAAAAAATCTTAGCTGTTCGCTGTATGAACCGGAACCTAAACTAATTAGAGATGCAGTACAAGGAATTTGCCACCAAAGGTATAAGAAGTGACAAGAAGAGCATAAAGATTATGCAGAACTGTTAATGGAAGAAGAAGAAACAGAGTAACTGTGAAATAACATTAACTATTGTGTAAATTAGGTAATAAATGGTTTTTTAAATTTGTATTATAGTGTCTGTAATTATAACAGCATGAATGTACTATGATAAAGTATTTATAATTATATTTTAAATCACAAATTTTTCTTGGTAAATAATCTGGGTTTTTAAATTTCCCATCTGGGTTTTTTTCCATCCAGACCCAAGTTTTTTCATATGTCACGAGTGGCATCCCTGCTTAAGACAGTTTATTACTGTTATTTATATTTTTATTATTGTATGTTAGTGTGTTTGATAATTGATAACATCTTTTCACTTTTACTGTAAATAAAGTAATATTTTTAAATATTAAATACATGTTTATTATGTAAAATAAAGATATTAAGATGGCAAAAAAATTGAGGAACTACTGTACATTTAATCATCATACATATTTTATTCTATACATGCATTGATATTATTAGACAAAATAAAATTACCAAATTATTAAAATTGTCACTACATCAAGAACCTGTTACTGGTGTGCTTCGTGGAAATACAGTTTATCACAAACACTTTCGAACTTTTGAACAGTTCTTCTTCAGGTGAAATTTGATGGAACACTTCAAAATGGAACATGAATATTTAAAACAAATCAAACTCCTGTTAGACAAAATCTGTTGCGATGGGCATGTGCATTCATGGGTGGTTGGTAATTAAGGGTCAGCTTCTATGTGGGTCTGCCAGGCTATGGATAGATTGAGTTCCTCTTTCTGGTTGATGCAGGTGATAAACTGTATTTTCACGAAGCACACCAGTAACAGGTTCTTGACGTAGTGATAATTTTCATCCTGGTGTTTAGGTGTTGATGAACTTTTTATTAAAATTGTTTAGTATTTAATAAAAATTAATACATGTGTATACACATACATACATATATATTTACAGTATAAGCATGATATTTGCCCCTGAATAGATGTTTAGGTATCCCTAAACATCTATTCAGGGGCAAAAGAGACCTTCCAACATCACACAAGTGTATACATATGTTGCATTCTTGTCAAAAACCTTTAACACATTACCAAAACTAAACTGTTCAATTATATTTAAATTTTAGACAAACATGAGGAAAAACATGTTAATTTTTAAGAATTCTATCCAGGAAATTTGTTTTATTTTAAAGCTTTTTATNTGCTAAACAAGCAATCAGTAAAAAAAAATCTTAGCTGTTCGCTGTATGAACCGGAACCTAAACTAATTAGAGATGCAGTACAAGGAATTTGCCACCAAAGGTATAAGAAGTGACAAGAAGAGCATAAAGATTATGCAGAACTGTTAATGGAAGAAGAAGAAACAGAGTAACTGTGAAATAACATTAACTATTGTGTAAATTAGGTAATAAATGGTTTTTTAAATTTGTATTATAGTGTCTGTAATTATAACAGCATGAATGTACTATGATAAAGTATTTATAATTATATTTTAAATCACAAATTTTTCTTGGTAAATAATCTGGGTTTTTAAATTTCCCATCTGGGTTTTTTTCCATCCAGACCCAAGTTTTTTCATATGTCACGAGTGGCATCCCTGCTTAAGACAGTTTATTACTGTTATTTATATTTTTATTATTGTATGTTAGTGTGTTTGATAATTGATAACATCTTTTCACTTTTACTGTAAATAAAGTAATATTTTTAAATATTAAATACATGTTTATTATGTAAAATAAAGATATTAAGATGGCAAAAAAATTGAGGAACTACTGTACATTTAATCATCATACATATTTTATTCTATACATGCATTGATATTATTAGACAAAATAAAATTACCAAATTATTAAAATTGTCACTACATCAAGAACCTGTTACTGGTGTGCTTCGTGGAAATACAGTTTATCACAAACACTTTCGAACTTTTGAACAGTTCTTCTTCAGGTGAAATTTGATGGAACACTTCAAAATGGAACATGAATATTTAAAACAAATCAAACTCCTGTTAGACAAAATCTGTTGCGATGGGCATGTGCATTCATGGGTGGTTGGTAATTAAGGGTCAGCTTCTATGTGGGTCTGCCAGGCTATGGATAGATTGAGTTCCTCTTTCTGGTTGATGCAGGTGATAAACTGTATTTTCACGAAGCACACCAGTAACAGGTTCTTGACGTAGTGATAATTTTCATCCTGGTGTTTAGGTGTTGATGAACTTTTTATTAAAATTGTTTAGTATTTAATAAAAATTAATACATGTGTATACACATACATACATATATATTTACAGTATAAGCATGATATTTGCCCCTGAATAGATGTTTAGGTATCCCTAAACATCTATTCAGGGGCAAAAGAGACCTTCCAACATCACACAAGTGTATACATATGTTGCATTCTTGTCAAAAACCTTTAACACATTACCAAAACTAAACTGTTCAATTATATTTAAATTTTAGACAAACATTAGGAAAAACATGTTAATTTTTAAGAATTCTATCCAGGAAATTTGTTTTATTTTAAAGCTTTTTATGTTTTGCAGCAAAGCCTTGAAAAATATGGCATTTGGTAAAAGCTTTACAAAGTTTTGCTTTTTTCAAAAATTCTTGATATTGTTTCAATTTAATGAATTAAAAGTATTTAGTAATAAATTTCTTATTTTATTACATAAAATTAAATTTTAATTAAAAATATTAATATTATTTACTTTAATCCTTTTCTAAGTAATTTTTTTACAAGTGAGGACCACATTTCTTCTGTAAGATTTTCACTTAATGAATTTGAATCCATTTTCTAAATTAAAAAAATGAAAATTATTAAATATTTGTAGTATAAATTTTTTATTAAAATCATATATAGTATTGAAATCTGAATATCATTTCTTTTTATTATTATTGTAAAAATACTTTAGCAATAAAATCATAATTAACTGAGATTTTTCATTTTTATTATATAATTTTCTTTTTTTATTAAATGGTTAAAAGTTGTATTTAAAAACATTGAATGATGATTGTTAGTCAATCTTAAATGCCAAAACAAATATAATAATTTACTCAGCAAATTATTATTAAGTCAGTATTTTATCAAATCAGTAAATCATTAAGAAATTAATCTAATATCCAATTCAAATCTATTAAATATCAGGTTAGCTAATGTAATGTTACTACAGTCAAACACCGGGTTTTGAATGACTCTGTTTACTAACAATTTGATTTAAGAACAAAGTTTTGATGATATTTGCCCTGGTTGCCATACAATAACTTGGCTGCCGAACATGCTACTCAGCAAAAACTGTCCACAGATGGTGAACTCACTACACATCTGTGTTAAAGAAAGCTGTCAGCCTGCCCAATGAACCAATGAGTGACAGTACTACCAATTCAGAAATTAGTGGTGCTGAGATTGCCTTGCATCACATAACGAATCATCCATGACATTACTATTTAAATTACATTTCAATGCACATGCGGGAAAGATACTTTTCTGTACAAACCACAGTTGAATTTAAATCAAACTAATTAATAAAAACAGCGTTAATTAATTGACATTCATGTAATACAAATGACACTCAAGAATTTGTGTTTAAATATGCTTAAGTTAAATTAAACGACAAAAATTTATTAATATAATATTATATATTATAATATTAATATTTTTTATTTGTTAATACTAGGTAGCCAGTTAATTAAACTAAAACTAATAATTAAATTCAAAAAGTAATAATTAAAACTGGCCTTTATACTGAAACCGAAACTAAAAAATAAAATAAAAAAATTAAGTTAACCTATGGTCATAAGTTGTCCCCAGCTGGTGCAATGAATGACCTGTATGGTTATTTCTAAATTTAAAATTAAATTAATTAATTTATTAATTATTAAGTGTAATACAAGATGGCAGCCTAACTGCCAACCTCTTGTCAAATTACTTTGTATCCAATTACTAACAGTAGTCATATTATAACCCAAAAAATCAAGCAGATAATCTGGCTCATTATTAATAAATAATTTAATAAACAATTTTATTAAAATAGTGTTTTAGTTATTTGAATTCTCTTAAAATTTGAGAAAAATTTTAAAATTTAATGATTTAACAGTACTTTAAGTTTATAACATTAGGACAAATATAAACTAATAAAACAATAATTATGTTATTAAGAGAATTAAAAATTAAAATGTCTCATACAGTGCTCCACAAAAATACAGAACTGTTGCAAATTTACTATATGAAGGTTAGGAATTTCACATATGTAGCTTACTTATATTGTTCAGGATTTATGAAAACATAATTTGTCAAAACTCATGGTTTACTATATTGCAGCAAACAGCAGAAATTGTAAAAAAAAAAAAAACTGATTTTAAGCACCACAAAAGTATAGAATTGACTAGTAAATGAATATAAAAAGAATTATATATTACAAAACAGCTTAATTTAGTCATTTATTTGCACACCTCCTTTACTGATAACATTGAAAATGCAATTTGGAATGCTATCTACAAGGTTTTTTTATGATCGATGCCTCAAGAGAGTTCCAAACAGTGACAATTGCTTGTTTTAAGTGTTCAATGTTGGCATACTGATGAATTTGGTCATAAATTCAGTCAACCAAGTTCCCCAAACACTTTCTATAGGATTGCAATCAGGAGAACGAACTGGCTAATTCATTTATTTTCAAATCACTGTTTCATATCTCATGATACATGGACAGATGTATTGTCCTGTTGAAAAATAAGAATTCTTCTGTATCTATGTTTGTATGGCAGCAATTTGTCCTCCAGAACTTGTTGATAGTCTGCACTGTTCATGCAACAGGTAACAAATGCCAAATCCAATTTTCTCAATGCAGAAAAAGCATTCAAAACCATAACACTCCCACCACCAAAGTTCCTTTGCAAAAAGTACTTGAGCTGTTTTTGTAAATCATGCCAATAGAACACTAAACCATCTGGCCCATCCAAATTAATTTTTTTTTCATCCAAAAAGATTATTTATACGACAAAAAGGTTGTTATTTCTTGTGTTAGTACAATAGGTCTAAAAAAAACAAAAAAACTTACCTTATTCCATTGAGTGGCCATATTTTTCCTAGCAAAATTGAGTTGTACAGCTTTGTGCTCAGCTTAAGAGCAGGGCACTTCTCATTTGAGACCAAACAATGTTGTTGTTGCCATGTAAAACCCTTCGAACAGTTCATGATGTATTTAAATACCCAAATTGTCCCAAATTTTATGCATGGATGCTGTGGAATTAGAAGCTGCATTAATAATTCATGTGCGGTCTTGCAGGGTAAGCTTTGAAGGACATCCACTTCTACACTTTTGTCCATAATTTGCAGGATTTGACAAATAATACTGAACGACCTTTTTTGAACATTTGATGCTGTTTGTACTGCTCAATGACTTAAATCAGTGCTTCTCAAAGCTACAATTTGTCCTTTCTTAAAGTCTGTTCAATGGGTACCACGAGGCATGATGAAAAAACTTGCGAGAAAGATGGCAGTTCTATACTTATGTGACAGTATGTAAATTGACTTCCTCACTATTTTGCAGTCAGCCATGAATTAGTTTCTTAAAATTATGTTTTTATAAGTTAGGTGCTGAATTACATGTAAAAAAAATCTATTTCTATCTGTTAGTGCATGTTTTGACCTCAAAAGACCAATTTTTTGAATGGTTCTATACCTTTGTGGAGTGCTGTATACATTAAATGTGTATGAGACAATATATTCTTATATCCATATTTGCAACCTATGATCTAGAACAGTGGTTCCCAACCTTTTTTCATTAGCGTACCCCGTGACATGTCATATCTCTAGATTGTACCCCTCATTTAAGAAATTTAGTGAGTACCCGTATTGTTAATTTTACATATTGTAACTTTAAATTAAAGAAAAAAAAAAAGTAAATGAAAAAATGTATAATAAAATTGTGATTACTGCAAGGAACATATTTTACCTAATAATTTTTTGATACTATTAGTTTGTGATACATAATATATTATTTTTTCTGCCATAATAACTAACTTTTTTCTGTACCCCTAAACAACCTATCGCGTACCCCTAGGGGTACGCGTACCACAGGTTGGGAATCGCTGCTNAATTCTGTAACAAATGTCTAAATACATATTTTCAATTATTTTCATATAAGCAAACATTTTCCAATTAAACAGTATTTTCAAAATAATAAATATAACATTTTACAGTGATTTGCAAATTGAAAAACAAAACTCACCAATATCAACTGAAGAGAAGCTAGACGGATGTATTTGAATCATTTCTAAAGCATAATTTATAAATTCGTCCATTTTATTTTTTTCCAAGTTTGAACTCATGAGTAGAAAATATAATGTTTTAAAATTTGAAGATTTCATAAGATCAATATTTTTGTCATTCAAACAACATTTTACAAGTTTAGCAAAAACTGAAAAGGCTGGATCAATTTTTTGTATTTGGGATAAGTCAAATTCAGTAATAACTTGAAGAATATTCTCAGCTTCATTTGGGCATAAAATTGGAAGAAAATCACTTATTAATGTTTCAAATGTTATATTTTTTAAAATAAATTTCTTCTTAATCAAATCATTTCTATTCATTTGAATCCAAGAAATCATTTTGCACTTGTATGATTTTAAAATTACTTCCTTATCCAATTGTGAAAACTCATTAGTAAGAGAAATTAAATTCAATATAAAACTTGTCAAGTGTGATGATAATTCCTTAGATAATTTTAAACAATTATATTCTTTTGCCAAAAACCAATATACAACTGAGGAATTCCCAAGGATTTCCTTTAAAAGTTTTGAAGATGAAATATGGTCCAAATCATTTATGTTATTAGCAGTTTCTTTCTGATTGTATGAATTAAATAATTTTAAACAGAATTTGACTAGTTCAATATATTAATAAGGTGATTTTGTCATCTGATTATGATAAATTTATAAATAGGCATGTTGCTGTCTTAATTTAATAATTTAAATAAATAAATCTAAAAAGATTTAATTGAAATAGAATTTAAACTCAGTTTGGACTAATAAAAATCAAGGCTAAGTCAAGTTAGGACACTTAACAGTATTATGAGGATTATGTAATGGATGGTAGTTTAAATCTATACATCCCACTTGCTCTAATAAGAAATTTATTATTAATTTCAATTTAGTCTATATATAATCTGATAAAATTCCAATAGCTTATTTATATATAATGTAGTCTAAACTAAATTTATGTGCATTATTATATTTGAAAATTTTGTTAGTGCAAAACATTAATAAATATATCTAGATAGCAGAAAATGACATTATTTTTCAATATTTGCTATTCAAGCAGTTATTGTGACCATATTACAAATGATTTAGTTCTACAAAGATTACAAAATATTGTGATAGAACATGGGATGCACTTGGTTGACTATCTATATTTACCAGATTACAGGTATCCTAAGATAAGCTTCTATAACAATAGATATCTCCTGACGGAAAAGGAATGAGAGGAAAGTCAAGCAAATTTATGTTTCATTTCTCAATGTGCCCAGTTGTACAGGCAGACCTAACTAATGACTCAAAAGAATATAATTATAAATTCAGTTACTTTTAATACCAAATGTTATTAATTTACCAACTATTTCACATTAATAACAACTTAACTTTTAAATAGAATTAATTAATTTAAAATGATTAACATATGAATTATCATATGTTATCTTTAGTATCAAATTATCATAACTCAACACTATAACCAATTAGTATTCTATTACAGGATGTCTAATAAAATGCAACCCATCATACACTGCATGGATCTTTGGTGCTCCTTGTTAATGGAATATGTATAAATTTTGTCACCAGTCTCTTTACTAAAGTCTTGTTAGGAACTTTACTATCTGGGCACTTGATTATATGAAGAAAATTATTTTGTACTAAGATCACATAAAGAAATATTCATCAGCAATAAAAAAACACATTTCTTCTGTAAACTAATTTCTTCCCTGCAAAGCACCAAGTACACTGGTTGCATTATAATGAAAACTAAGAAGACTGTTGATTTAGAAGAAGTGATCACATGTTGAACAAATTGATTCCAGTGAGCAGTATGAGTATGGTGTTTCTGTTGGTAATTCATATTTCCCAGAATGTTAATGGATGGGTTACATTTTATATAAAACATCCTGTATAAGGAAACAGTAATGATTTACTAAATTATGAGGTAAAATCCAGAGGGCTCCTTCTGCTCTTTCTACATATGTTTTCATATCTTTGTTTTTTTTAAATTTTAATATGTTTTTTAGACAATCATCTTTCTCTTAATGCAGAGTTTTGTCATTTTATGAGCAGTAGAGGAGTAAAGACAAATTTTTGATTATGAAAATAAGATTCTAATCTGAAAAAGTTTGCAAAACTTCAAAGTTGAAAATTCTTCTTTTGTAAAATTGTCTCTAAATAAGAAAAAACCTTCTGAAATATCACCTCATTAACCAAATTGACTTAATTTCTTTTAAATAATATTTTTAAAATCTATTTCACAATTCTGTAACAAATGTCTAAATACATATTTTCAATTATTTTCATATAAGCAAACATTTTCCAATTAAACAGTATTTTCAAAATAATAAATATAACATTTTACAGTGATTTGCAAATTGAAAAACAAAACTCACCAATATCAACTGAAGAGAAGCTAGACGGATGTATTTGAATCATTTCTAAAGCATAATTTATAAATTCGTCCATTTTATTTTTTTCCAAGTTTGAACTCATGAGTAGAAAATATAATGTTTTAAAATTTGAAGATTTCATAAGATCAATATTTTTGTCATTCAAACAACATTTTACAAGTTTAGCAAAAACTGAAAAGGCTGGATCAATTTTTTGTATTTGAGATAAGTCAAATTCAGTAATAACTTGAAGAATATTCTCAGCTTCATTTGGGCATAAAATTGGAAGAAAATCACTTATTAATGTTTCAAATGTTATATTTTTTAAAATAAATTTCTTCTTAATCAAATCATTTCTATTCATTTGAATCCAAGAAATCATTTTGCACTTGTATGATTTTAAAATTACTTCCTTATCCAATTGTGAAAACTCATTAGTAAGAGAAATTAAATTCAATATAAAACTTGTCAAGTGTGATGATAATTCCTTAGATAATTTTAAACAATTATATTCTTTTGCCAAAAACCAATATACAACTGAGGAATTCCCAAGGATTTCCTTTAAAAGTTTTGAAGATGAAATATGGTCCAAATCATTTATGTTATTAGCAGTTTCTTTCTGATTGTATGAATGAATAATTGTATTTAGAAAATTGAGATGCAATAAAACTGTTTCTTCAGCAATAATGTCATTCTAAAAAAAAATAATATCATATATATATATATATATATATTTTACACAGTGTCCAACATCTTATATATATATTAAAATATGATTAATTATTTTATAATGAAAAATTATTTTTTCCCCACAAATTTATTGGATAAAAAAATTAAATCACTAAATAATTTAAATTTTTAATTTATTTTTAAAAAGGTAACAAGTATATTTATAACCTAGAAGCAAGGATGTCTGCTGCAACTTTTCCAAATGGGCAAAGGCACTCTCTCACTATCATACTTATTTCACTATATACAGATGAATTTACATGAGAGTTTCATTATATACAGATGAATTTACATTAATTTTTTGCAAAACATTCAAGGGACTGAAGAAATTTTCTGTTAATGAGTTTTTGCTATACACAGGTTTCATTATAAACAGATTTAACTGTATTATGATAAAAAAATGAAAACTTTCCTACATTATCTTACCAGTTAAAAATTTAAATTAAGGAATATAATTTTAAAAACATGTAAGAATCCGTAGACAATAACTGAAGACAATTACAAACATTTATTAACTAACAAAACCTTCATAAAATATCTTCAAACATTATATAAAATTTCTTCATTTATTAATAAAATAATAAATAGAATAAATTATATACACAAACATTTTAAAATTACTTACTTGTTGTATCTCCATAGTTATATAAAATATTATTTGCCTTATAACAGACAGTAATTCCTCCCAATTTTCCAAATTTTTCATAAAACGTTTGAAATTTTTATTAAATTTTTTCTCATACAAAGAAATATCACTTAGTTTAGACTGAAAATAAATAGTTTTCAATGATTCTGATGATGAAATTTCCATAAATAATTTTTTTGATAAAGATTCTTGCAATTTATCCTGAAATTTAAAAAGCATTTATTTAAAAGGAAAGCAAAAAATTCAAATATAAATAGCTGATATGTGTAATGTACAACAGTTTTATATAGAAATATTATTTCTTTATTGATAAACACAATAAATCAAATTTATTACAATTAAAAATCAAGGTTTTTCATTATGCAACATTAACAAAAGGATTTAAAAAATTTATAAAAATTAAAAATTTATTACACTATTAAAATAAGTAAAAATGACAGAAATAATAATAAAGTTAATATTAATTACATATGCTACTTCAAAACTAAAGATAACATATTAAAAAATAGTTATGAAATTAAATATAATAATGCAATATAAAATATAAACTACTTAATTTTTGAATAATAAATAATGCTCAGACAACATAATTGATTTTTAAGAATAAAAGATAAACTAAAATCTTCTTGTAAAATATAGCACTGACATTCATGATGCTTACTATTGGCATGAGTATGTGCACAAAATTCATTTGAGAAACTGAGACAAAATTTTGCAGTAAATCTTCTCTACTATTATCACTAACATCTCATTAAAATGACAATTGTGTTCTTCATAGCTGGGATGAAAGTGATGGCCAGATGGTTGAGCAGTCAAGATGGCAGCCTGCTGCTCTGGGGGTCCCGGGATTGAATCCGGACAGGCTGAAAAATCCTCAGGAATTTTTTTGGGAGGTGGTCCGTCCATATATGTCGGGCCATTGTGGGCCTGGCTTAACTCATAATGGGCTTGCTAAAAGAGGCTTTCTTAGTGCCCAAATGACAAAAAGAGTTATAAAAAGAAAGCTGGACCGAGAAAGTGAATATTTTCTAGAAACTATATTGTTGGAAAGGACAAACCAATTAATTCCAGCAAAATCTTACATTCAAGATTCACAGATAAAACAGAATATTTATAAACATTTTCAAAAAACTGAATCAAGAAATAATAAAATTAAATTACTTAAAAATATAAATAAGATAATTACAAATAAAAATAAAATTAAACAAGTCAACTGTTAAGTTTGGTTAGCATTAAACATATCAAGCAGTTGATGCAAGTATCATAATTATTTGTTTTTTTATGACAAATTTATTAATTTAGAACATAAATATATAAATATTAAAAAATAATAAATAAACTTACATTTTCAATTTGAAATTCAGAAATCCAAAGTTTTGCATAATTCATGAATGTAATTGGTAAAACATTATATTTTTGTAATAAAATACAAAGTGGCTTTGGATTTTGTTGGCAATGAAGAATTTCTTGTAAAACTTCTGACAAATAACAATTTATTTCTGAAAAAGTTCATATAACATATTTATTATTAGTAAACAAAAATTTAGTTATTGAATTTTTATTTCTGTACTATCTATTAACATAGTAATACTAATATTACAATTTGTTCTACAATGTACTGAATATGTTAAATTAAGAATGATTATTTTATACAAGATGGCCCAATATTCACAATACAATATAGTGGGTATGTGTGTGTTACATTAAAAAAACTCATATAATGCTTTCAAACTACTGACAATAGTAACAAAAACAAATTTTGGCATTTTGGAATGAATTCTGCAATCTTTAAAACTTTCACACCAACAGTAAATTTTAATAAATTAACACATACAATCTTAATTAGATAAAGCAATGCAACAAAACAAATACCACCATGAACCGTAGAATTAAATTATTATAATCAAAATATTAATTTATGTGATGTTATGCCATTCTGAAATAACATAGTAATTTCATGCGACAAATAAATAAAAATTAAAATAGTAACTACAATAAATCTGAACATTTATTATTATATATAAATAATTATATACCACTTTAATTTTCTATGAAATTGAAAAATAGAGTTGATTTTGTAAGAGAATTTTGATACATTTGTTGATAATAAGAGTAATATTAAATATATTTTACATATAAATTTTAAAAATTATGAGTATTTGTAAAAATAATGTATAATTTTATAAGTAAGACACTTTTGTTATTTTTTGTTTTTATTTTTAAGGCTTTTTATTATTATACACAATTTACATTTTAAATTGTAATTAAAACAATGTATTTTTAGATTATTGTATATTTCTAAACATAGTATTTCAGTAAATTTAACCTTTGTATTTTATTTTACCCTTTGTGAAATCATTATGTCATAGTAATACTTGTTTTTTTATATATATTCTAACTTTCAATATTATTATTATTATTATTTTTTTTTTAATGTATTTTAAAGGGATGTTATATTGTTAATCAGGAGGTACAGTACTTGTGATTATTACCATCATGATCAGTAAACAAATAAATGTATGAAATTAAAAAAATTGAAAAATAACAGATTATTTTATAAAGTAAATGAAGAATTGGAAGAAGAATATCAACTTTTATGAATCTTTTGTTACTTTTTGTGATTAAGACAAAGATTATTACAATGTGTCATTGTTTTATTTCTATTTTCTATTTAATGACTTTTTACTGCATACTGACAAACAGATTAAATTACTTTAATCTATTAATTATATAACCAATNAATATTTTTTTTTTTTTTATATTTATCAAAAATATTTACAGAAGCTGGAAATGAGATAACTAATAATTTACGTAGTGCTTGAATACTTCTTACCACAACTATTTTTTTAAAACATGAATATGATCCAGATATGATTTTCAATGTATTACATGATATAGAGGAAGGATGGTGAAAGTTGATTGTGATAAGGATACCAGGCAGGTTACTATTATGTTACAATTTGAGCAAAAAATGCACATCTACTCTAAAATTTCCAAAGATATATGCTATAAAATAACTTACATTTAGTGGCTTACTGTATTCAAACTTTTAACACATGGAAAAGATACAAGAAGCAGTCTGAGAGCCCCTGGAGTTTATAAAATATTGATAACTGACAGCAGATTTATTACCCATGTGGCCTTAATTGAAGCTACATGTAGGTCTCTAATATTTAGAATTAATGAGCACATGTATGATATTGAAAAAAGAAGTACACAACAACTTTGGCCCAGTATGCCTATGAAATAGGTGTAATACCAAACCAGAGTGAAGCTAAACTTTTAAAAATAATTTTTAACAAATCTAAACTCAAATCATCAGAGGCCATAGAAATTTACAAGCAAGAACAAATAGGAGGCTGCATTAATAATATAGACAAATTTAGTCTTCCACAAGTCTGGCAAGCCTTACTAAACATAAATAAAATGTAGCGATAAAGAAGTGAATGTATTGTAATATATTCATTTTATATATCGTTTTTTTTTATTATTTGATTAAGTTTTTCAATTTTAAGTTATATGAAATTTTTTGAATACTTTAGAGTTATATTCAGATTTTGTTGGATGTCTGCCAATTTAAATTTCCAAATGTATGGAACACTTCAAAAGCATTAGCTATGTTAGAATTTCTATTAAACTCTTTGGAAACTCTCAAATTCTTTTTTGCTTGTATACTTGATCAGGGCTAATAAAGAGGCTGAAAACATTTGTTTTTAAAAAATAATTTTTAAAAACAAATGTTTTCAGCCTCTTTATTAGCCCTGATCAAGTATACAAGCAAAAAAGAATTTGAGAGTTTCCAAAAAATTTAATAGAAATTCTAACATAGCTAATGCTTTTGAAGTGTTCCATACATTTGGAAATTTAAATTGGCAGACATCCAACAAAATCTGAATATAACTCTAAAGTATTCAAAAAATTTCATATAACTTAAAATTGAAAAACTTAATCAAATAATAAAAAAAAACGATATATAAAATGAATATATTACAATACATTCACTTCTTTATCGCTACATTTTATTTATGTTTAGTAAGGCTTGCCAGACTTGTGGAAGACTAAATTTGTCTATATTATTAATGCAGCCTCCTATTTGTTCTTGCTTGTAAATTTCTATGGCCTCTGATGATTTGAGTTTAGATTTGTTAAAAATTATTTTTAAAAGTTTAGCTTCACTCTGGTTTGGTATTACACCTATTTCATAGGCATACTGGGCCAAAGTTGTTGTGTACTTCTTTTTTCAATATCATACATGTGCTCATTAATTCTAAATATTAGAGACCTACATGTAGCTTCAATTAAGGCCACATGGGTAATAAATCTGCTGTCAGTTATCAATATTTTATAAACTCCAGGGGCTCTCAGACTGCTTCTTGTATCTTTTCCATGTGTTAAAAGTTTGAATACAGTAAGCCACTAAATGTAAGTTATTTTATAGCATATATCTTTGGAAATTTTAGAGTAGATGTGCATTTTTTGCTCAAATTGTAACATAATAGTAACCTGCCTGGTATCCTTATCACAATCAACTTTCACCATCCTTCCTCTATATCATGTAATACATTGAAAATCATATCTGGATCATATTCATGTTTTAAAAAAATAGTTGTGGTAAGAAGTATTCAAGCACTACGTAAATTATTAGTTATCTCATTTCCAGCTTCTGTAAATATTTTTGATAAATATAAAAAAAAAAAAAATATTAATTATAAATACTTTTATTAAACAAAAAATAATACAATAACAAAATTATATTCATTATAATAAATACTCACACCATGACACAAAAACCATATTATAATGAATATAATATGAAATTGATATTACCAGTAGATATTTAATGATAAATCAAAAAAATTAAAAGTTTTTTAATATTTTATACAATATGTAATCAATAATTATATTTTAAAATATATTTAGCTGACTTTTAAAATATGTTTGAATCACCTTCCTTTATAAATATTTACTCCAAATAAAGCAAGTTTGATATATTTTGAAATATTTTTGGAGTTTAGTGCTAATAATTATTATATTTATTAAATTACATTCATAAATGATTTTATAGTTTTATGTATAAAAAGTAATATTTGTTAAAGAATCCAAAAACTTATAATAATAAAAACTTTATTACATTAATAACTTTTTAAGTAATTTTGTTGTATTTTCATTTAATCAATTCAGAAAACAATATTATAAATCAGAAAGAAAGGAAAGCTAAAATATTTGTCTAATTTTGAAAATAAAAAGTTTTATATTAGATGCCNTTTTTTTTTTTTTTTTTTGTACATGTTTCTGGCTTGTGTAGGCACCTCCTCAGTCAACTTAAGAAAAATTTTCAAAAATGTTCGAAGACCCTCTATAATTAAAAATTGATCATTAATTAAGAAAAATTATATAGATACATGTATCAACTAAAAATTGAATAAATTCACAATAAAGATTGCCTTGTGTTGTGTGTATGAACTGTATAGTGTTCAAAAACTACAAAAATAAAACCTTTAGAATTTCTATCGTTTTTATAGTAGCCAGTAGCTCTGTGGGAGAATGCCAGTTTTTAATCAGGTGGTTGGTGTTTGAAATCTTATTGGTATCAATGTGTTATATTTGTTTTTTTTTTACAAAACAATATATAAAATAATCATTTTAAGATCAGCTCCTTTTTTAGAAAAAAGAAAATTTAATTTATTATACAGAATGAAAACTACTGATAAGAAAGTTTTGTAAGTACAGTAGAGCATCGATTATCCAAATACTGATCAACTGAAACATCGGTTAACCAAAAGCATTCGTCACCAAATTCAAATTTCTGCTAGTGCTGTGGTGCTGCAATATTTGGCTATGTCTTGTGCTACTCCAATATTATTTTTATTGGTGTGCATATTTTAGTTGGCAGCACTGGTGCGACCATGAGAGGGTACTTAAGGATGCAACAAAGCTCTCTTTTCCCAATTGTGAGTGGCGAGTTTTGCTTGTTTTGTGTGGTGTTTTTCTGAGGACTGTGTGTTGGGACATGTGTCGTGCTGAATTAGAACATTTTGATACTAGATTAACTTCCGAAATATAATTTTATTTTGTTTTTATAATTTTCAATATATTTATTTTGTTTGTGCAAAATAAAGAAATAATTTTTTTTTATTCCAATGAAACTGTGTTTTTTTATTTCCTTTTACTTTTCATAGACACAATGTAGTGACACTTTTTAAACACTTGGCAGAAAAAAAAAAGAAATAATTTTTAACAATACAATAACCACGATTATTATTTTAAAAAAATGTTTGTTAGGCTTAACATTGATGAAAATTCAATGCAAAGCAACACGCAATGGAGAAAAATTTCAACATGGGATAGGTTAATATATTTTTTTCCAGTCCCAAATTGTTTCAGATAATCGAAGCTCTACTGTAATTTCATAATATACTTATTAAAATGATATTACAGAGGAACTCAACAGTCAGGTGTTTTCTAGCATCTGCAGAGTTATGTATAACCTCTTATTAAGAACTTTATGGACTTTAGTAT